GGGGGGGGGGGGGGGGGCAACTGATATAGAAGCTGCCTAGAAGTAGGTGGGATTTTGAGAATGCTTTTTTCAATTATAGAATAAATGACAAAAATAAAGTATAGATCAATTCCAATGCTAACTAAATTTATGAAATACATTTTATAAACTCTCTTTAACAATATTCACCTTTTGTCCTATTGAAAAACATAATTTTTAATGGCGACATCCCTACTAATTCACATTTTTGGATAGAATAAGGGTAAATAACCTGTAAACAGGCCGGTTAGCTTTGACTGTTATCTGCTACAAAGATATCTTTAAAAATCCAGAAATCTTAGGAACAGATTATATCCGATGGTCTTGGAATTGCTGGGTACTGCAAGGGGACTGTGTCACACCAACACAACTGCTTATCACAATGGGTTATTTGGTCAGGTACTCTGTTGCGGACAATGAGTAAATCATGTCAGAGACATCCCCAGGAGGTCATAAAAGTCAGCATGGCATCTGCAGCTCTGTGAGTGAAGACCTGCCCCCTTTTACACCAGCCATGTGTGCATAAAAGGGGGGAAACCTTTGGCCGGGCCGTTTGCAGTGGCCATCTTCCCCCGCAGATTCTTTAACCTACAAACTCATGCCATATCCATGTCAATTAAGATTTAAAAGGAGCTGCATCCGAATTAGAAATACCTCCAAAACAGATGATTAGGGCATTTATACTTTCTCTTCAAGGCCTATAAAATAGCATGTTGCGGTATCGTCAGACGATGGGCTTTAATTCAAATGCCAGATTACGTTTGGCAAAAATTAGTTGGCGAAAATATATACATATAAAAAACTGATAAAAATCTAATAATAAAATTATATGAAATATCAGCTGATATGTACATGTATGTTGGCACGTATGGAGAATCTGCAATTGTGCGAGAATGTTTTGGATTCTGAGAGAGAGAATATTAGGAGGCTTAGAAATTTGATCAAGCTGTTTTTAGTCATTTGAGTGGGCAACTTCAACAGAAAGGAAATATGCTTCCACTGCATTTCTGAAGCAGAATTTTGCAGGAGCCAAAGATAACCTTTCAATGCATTTGATGGAATAAGCAGATGCTTGGAAAGGATGTACTGCTTTGCTTGGGGCCCGGCCCGGCCCGGCCCACCCCCTCCAGGTTTTCTTCCCGGTGAACAGACACGGATCTGTTTCTATCCCTTTTCCCATCAAGCTATTCAGAGGCAGACCTGAAATGTAAAAACAAACAGCAGTCAGTACCGGTAGCATAAGATAGAAATTTGACCGTGGCATCACCGGCCCCTTTCCTAGAGGCTGACTTCCTGGCCTCTTCAATGGTCCCCTCCAAGTCCAAGATCCTATTATTCCAAAGGCAGATCCCAAATAAGCAAGATCCTAACAGTAAGAGCAATTTGAAAGTGGAGCCAGAGGCCTGCAGTTCCTTGGCTGGACATGTTGGCTGCACAGCCATCAATCTGGGGATGCCTTAACCTTGGATGCAGCCTGGAGCAGGGGAGCCCAGGAAAAAGTGCAGCTCCCTTAAGGAGTCCCGCATTGGACCTGAAGCACCTTTGCCCACTTGCGATCCAAATATGGGCACCACTCAGTCCACCTACAGAGAACAATCCTCTTTTCTCTGAATTAGCAGCACCGCATCATGCGAGAAGTATATGTTCAAGAACCCATTGCAAACTCATAATCTGTTTGTTAGCTTCGGGCTTGGTGCAAGATCAAGCCCATTCCAAGGAAGAAACCCTAGTTTACCAACCAAAGAGGAGGCAATTGCAGATTACACTACGCTAACAAAACAAACATAAAAGACGCTCTGGTTTAGCACACAGCTAGTGCCATCAAGCCTCAATCTTCTGCGAACCTAGCAAGTTTCCTTATGCCACAAGCAGCACATAAACATGCTAGCCCCTTGTCCGCAAATAAGGTGTCCGGTCCTAGATAATCATTGCTCCTCCGGCCAAACATGGCTGAGCCCACTGAGTTGGAGCTGTACCATTGCACAAGGTGAGTGGTTATCGTTACATAGTGTCTTTAAATTGTTCCACGCTAAGGTTGCCAAAGGCCGCGTATACCACCCCCATTATAGGCAAGAAGGCACCGAGACACAGCTTGCCACAGTCACCTTCTCAGTGCCATCCCCCTCTTCAACTCCTCTATATTAGCGGATTTTAGGGTTACCAACTTTACTATATGAAGAAAGAGAGTGTGCATTGCATACTGTGGTACACAGAATCTAGTTACTTGTGTTTTTCTGCAACAGCGAAAGGGCAGATGGCCCCTTCGTTCAGTTCTTGTTCTGTTGGCCATTTCCACCAAACCCAAAGTTTCCACCCAAAAGTTTCTGCCCTTCAGAAATCCCTACCTATGGCATGAAATCAAAAGATTTGAAGAGAGAGATAAGCGAACACTGGTTTAGGCTGCCCCTAAACTGCCTAAACCAGTGTTCACTTATCTCTCTCTTCAAAATCTCTCCAGCAAACAAACCCCAAGAGGCCGATTCAAGGTGGGAGCTCATGGCCAGCAGACCTCTCTTTATATCCCTATTGGCCATGCCCCTCCTCCCTGCACCAATCAGGGGGCAGCCCTGGCCACGCCCTCTGCTGGAGAATTGCCCCCCATAAGCCTCCTGGGTGGGAATTACGGTGCCCCCAACCTGGGTGGGAGGATTCTCTGGAAGTTTGGGGTAGTCCCGCGGCATCCTAAGATATGTGGGGTTCCTGAAAACGTTAACACCGCAGAAGCACACAAGCTTTTGTTTATTGTTTTCATCTTAATTAGTGGGCAGAGGGCGGCTTGGCATTAAAATATCCCGTTTGCCTTCGCAAGCTAAGCCTAGTCCTTCTGGCGACCGGTCAAGGAAGCTTTATTGTACCATAAATTGGTTATTAATAATAATCATAATATTCATTACGAGCCTCTACTAAGCCATTGCACAGATCAAAAGAAAAGCATGATTATTACGAAATTCCAACCCATCATATTAGTTCACAAGTTAATCATCAACCAGTAAAACCAATATTTAGGACCAAAACAAATCAAACACGTCTTCTTACTAGTCTTCAAGGTGCCTTCGGACTTTGTGATGTGTTTATTTTGACATGTCTCTGGGTTGCCTTTGGGGACAGTAAAAGCACAGTTATGCAGCTCTGAGAAAACAAGTAGCTCAGCCCTGTGCCCCTTCCACGGACCTGGAGCTGAGGGATCGTGATTTTTCTGTGTGACAGAAGCGGGGTGAAGCGCGATCAGACGTGCTTTCCCAGCCTTCCTGCGGGCACTTATGCTCGGAGTAAAGCTGTTCCCTCCCTCCCCTCCCCTCCCCTCCCCTCCCCTACAAGAGAAAAGAGGTTGCAAAGGAAGGAGAAGGTCTACAAAGTGGCCCTCCAGCTCAAAGGTCCCCTGACGAGGCAGGCAAGGAAGACACACCAGGCAGGGAGCAGAGGGTGGGACCCCAGCACCTGTTCCTTCAACGGGGTCCTGCTGGAGATGGCTCTCCATTCGTTCGGAGGAAGGCTCTGGAGGGCCCACCTGAGTCCTCCAGCTTCCATGGAGCTTCCTAGATGAGGCCCCTCAACTTCTCACCTTGACTGGAAGCTCCTTCTCCCCCAATTGCAAGAAGATGGCTGCTGTGGGGTGCTTGTATGCCTTCTCTCCACGAACCTTCCTTCTCTCGCTTTCTCTCCCCCATTTTTGCTCTCCCTCCCTCCTAACGCACTTTGTGAACTGCTGTCGCAATGCCGAAGTCCAAAGTTCAGTTACTTGCCTAAGCACACAGATAAATATGAACCTTGGAGAATTTGCATTGCTCCAATGTAAACAGAGAGGCGAGGGTCCCTTTATCAGTGCTGGCTCAGGACAGTTGTGGGGGGTCTGAGGCAGCTAATTTTTTTTTTTTTGGTCTTGGGGAAATTTGGGGGGGTTGCAGAGAGAAGATCTGCGGCCATTTCTACTCTGCTGACGGCTGGACGTGTGACTTCAGAAACATGATGTAGCCCCAGAAAGGAGCTTTGTAGCCAAAGGTGTTGAAAGCGCAGGTCCTAGAAGAGGAGGAAAGTCGGGACCATGGTCTCCAAACTGACGCACCTTCAGGTGGAACTGCTGGCAGCCCTGCTGGAATCTGGGCTAAGCAAGGAGACCTTGATCAAAGCCCTGGCGGAGTCGGATCCCCACCACGGGGAGAGCCAGCAGCCCGCCGGAGCCCTCCAGGCAGAGAAGGGGGACCCTTGCCCCGAAATCTCGTGCCTCCCCAATGGAATGGGGGAGTCAAGGATGTCGGAAGAGGAAACCTCTGATGATGGGGAAGACTTCACTCCTCCGATCATGAAGGAACTGGAAAACCTGAGTCCAGAAGAAGCTGCTCACCAGAAAGCCGTGGTGGACAGATTATTACAGTAAGGGCACTTCCTGCCTCTTGTCCTCTTCTCGCCCCTCTCTTTCCCCTCCTCCATGGCTCTGTCTTCTTTCTCACTCACTTCGTGCCCCCTTTCCCCAACTAGGTTCCCTCTGAAGGATGTGTTGGCTGTGGATGATGGAAGCTGCAGTCCAACGCATACGGAGGGTGGCCACGTCAGAGAAAGATGACCTCAGTAGTAGTTTCGATCACAACTAAGCTAAAATTCAGAGGTCTATCCCAATGCCGAACGAGATACAGCTTCTACCGTTCCGTGAAATCACGAAAGAGGGTGGGGAAAACAATGAACATTTCAGGCACATCTGGGAAAGGATCCTTTCTCAGTCAGAGCAGAAAAAACTTCCATATTCTGGTCTATTGAGCCCCCATTTCAAATATTGCTTGGAGGGAACTGGGCGCAGGAACCCCATAAAACCAAATGGGAGCAAGCCGTTTATGAATGTCGGTGCTGTAAAGGAACTGTGTTTATGGCAGAAGTACCTTCCACATGTATTAATTGGAACCCGTGGCACAACACAGTGAGTTGCACAAACACACAACCTACAAGCCATTTTGCTCTGCGCCTAACCAGCTTAAAAACTGTTGGTTGCACTCTTGGAGGGGCAATCAGGTATACAATTCCACTGCAATTAATTCGTCTTTGTATGAGGACCTCCTGCTCTTTGCAACAAGTTTCGGGGAACGCATTTTGCTGCATGACATTAGCACCATGACCGCTCCCCCAAAGTCATGCCTCCTGACGCTTTCTGCACCAAATGTGACTTTTTCTGGCAAACCCCTCTGATTTGCACCTTCCCCATCCTAAGCTTTAGTTCTCCTGGAATGTAATGCAATGGCTGTTTTCTAACTCTGTTTTATGCTGTTTTTTCCTTCTTTTCTAAACGGCTCTCCAATTTCGGGAGTTTGCTAAAGGGTGGGTCATAGGCCCACCTGGACAAAGGGTGAGGAATCTCACTTGGTGTATTTTATACAAGGCTCAGTTGGAAAATGTGAAGCCTGAATGAGCCCATCCAGATCCGACTCCAGATCTTTGCGGGCCAGCGGTCTGTTTCCACACCGGGGGGCAGGGGGGAGATGAGGATGAATGCAGACACCCTTCTTCTAGAAGGAAAGGAATAGAAAGATCACAGGGATGTGCTGGGAAGGGAGTGTTAAAACCAAGCACCATCTCTTGCCAGATGCACTCAGGGGTCCGAAGCTGTTCTGCCCTGTAAACTGATAGAGCTCCCTTCTCTAGCAAACGACAAGAACGCACTAGGTTGAATCCTTACCTGTGGGGTGAAGCAGAGAGGCCCCTGGGCTTCTTCCTCTCCCTCTTCTTCCTCTGCTGCTGCTAAGAAGACTTTCCCCAGCTCTTCTTCCTTTGCTAACTTCCCTTCTCGGGTTCAGCTTCCAAGCTACCTTGCCCTTCAGATGACCCCTTCTTCTCGTCCCCCAACTCTCCCTGACTCTGCGCTGAGATCTAGGGTCAGCTTGGTTTCCAGAGTTTCAGGACTGGACTGGTTACTAATTATCCAGTGGCTTTATTATTTCTCTTTTGTCTGATACATTTATAAACGAAAAGGCTCAGATAAGCCTTTTGATCATTAACTTCTGATGATTTATCAGGTGTCTCTTCTTGGAGGAAGGCACAGAAGCCAGAGAACACCTGTTCTGCAATCTGTCCTGGGAAGCCGGGATGGCAGAAGGGGAAGAGGAAAGGGAACAGGGGTCTCTGGCTGCGTTAGCACTGGGCTGGGGGTTCACGCGGGTTGGATGCCCAGTGTTCAGTGAGGGCATTGGGACCAGTTTGGCAGAAATATGCCCAGCTACAACAGTATTGACACTCTGATCTGGCATTATCTCAGAATTCAAAACATCTCACATACATTTATGGGTTAACTCATCATACTAAACTAGGATCTAGCTGAGTTCTCGTAAAGCCATAAATGATGGCTTTATTTATTTATTAGAAAAACCACAGTGACTGACTTCATCAGGTCTCCCCAAATCAAGCAGGACACATTATAACTTAAGGCATGGTGTGGACCGGGCCTCTCTTTCAGTAATCAGCCTTCGTATCTCCCCCCACCCCCCACCCCCCAGGAAACTGGACCAACCTCACCGTCCTCCCTTCAACTGCAGGACTAATGGAAACCTGCGGGGCACATCATCTACAGCTGGTTTCGTTCTCTGCAGAGAACATGAGGCCCTCCAGAGCCCCCTCGGGGCCAAAGCAACCCTTTCTCTCCCTCCTTTTCTTGTCTCCTTAGAGAGCATTCAGAAAAAGCTCCAGGCATTAAGACACTTGGGAAGACCATGCTCAGAGGTTCTGGAGGGGACACCTAGAATATAGGTCAGAAAGAGTCTGGTAGCAACTTTTAGAGTAACACATTTTGTTAGGAAGTGCGATATGCCTTATCATAAAACCAGTGAGCCTTAAAAGGTATTATTTGGGGCTACCACAGGCTAAGATGATTCTCTTCCTGCAATCTCTCCCAGGGAATATGGGTGCCCTCTGTCCTTTTGGGTAACTCCCTACCTGCCTGTGGTTCTTCGGCTGTCAGGGTTCTCCCCAGGGACGGCATTTCCTCATCATAAACCATCTGGCCACTTGGCTACAAGAAAAGTCACCTTCCCATTATAATAGGTATCCCATACTTGCCTCCCTGGGATACCTATTATAATTTCCCATAGCCCAAATCATGATTCCTCATCTGTGTTTTAGCCCGGGGAAGGGGATTTGGGAGGAAGTAGCCAAGAACATAAGTCTGCAACTGGATCCACACCATAATATTAACCCATGGCTTGCTAAATCAAGGTTGATTTGAAGATTCACAATTACCTGGATCACACATCATATTAAATGGGGGATGGACAAGTAATGGCTTGAGGGCCACGTGAGCCCCTCTGCTGCCTTTTTCAGCCCCAGAGCCCCAAATACAGCATTGACAGAAGACTTTTCAAAGAATCCTAGGGCCTGAAGGGACTTTAGTGGTTATTTAGTCCAACCCCTCTCCACATGCAGGATTTGCTAAAGCATTTCTGGCCGACAGCCATCCAGCCTGGGTCCAAAAACCTCCAGTGTAGGGGAACGTGCCCCTCCAAGAGGCAAACTGTCAGGAAATAGCTCCTCATATCTAACCTGAATCTACTTTCCCGTAGTTTCAGCCCATTGGCTCCAGACCTCTGGGCCACAGAGAATGCAATGAATCCCTAACCATGTGCCAAGCCTTCCAATGCCTGAAGGCAGCTATCCCATCTCCTCTTGGTCACCTCTTCTGCAGACCCAGAAGCAGAAGAGGTGACCAGGAAGCAGAAGAGGTTAACCTTTGCACACTGTGTGAACGTAGCCTCGAGGGCAAGATCAAAGGGACCTGCAGCAATGTGAACCAGCTCCAAGACTCGCGAGGCGTCCTCCGCTGATCGATTCACTGACCAGATTCGTATCCCACCAGGAGTATCCACAGGGTGTAGTCAGGGAAGTCAAGATGGCAGCCACCATGGAATGGCTGATGCGCTGCCTGCTTTTGTGCGCAACATGCATAAAACCAGGCAGAGCTTCTACCACACTATCACAGCCATCGTCTTTGCTTCTCTGACCACCCCCTGCGTACACCCCTGTGTCCTGCCAAACCCAGCCACTTTGACCCCAAGGCGCCATTTTGCATTTGGCTCAGCCCCTAGCCAGTACTCTGTGTCTACCTCTCCTGGAGATAACAACAACAGCACAACAACAGTGGGACCCTGGTGCAATACCAAAGGGATTCACCAGATAATTAGGCATTGTAAACTTACTGGACTTGACACTCCTAATTTCGCAAAAGACTAGTCTATTTGGAATAGCATAGATTTTATGGCAATACATCCACGACTCTTAGGTCCTTGGCTAGGAGCTGGATCATTGGAGTCAATCCCAATCGATTAGATACTCATTTGGATCCCTAGGAAAGCATTCAATAAAATAAAAGAGATCCTGCAAGGCTGAAACTGACCTTTTTCACTCTCTTCTCAAGGGATCAAAAGTGTGAGTCTGTAATACCAGGAGTCTGATACAAATCTAGTTTTAGCTCCAATGAACTAAAAAATGGGATTCTTTATGTGTTATTTAAGAGCCCCTGTTTGAAAACCTTTAGTGCATATGAATCTGATTGCACTGATTTTAATTAATTTACACGTTTGTGCGTCCGACTCTAATAATAGTACTCTTCATAAGCGCATGTTTTCAGCAGAGGTAGTTCCTGTGCAAAGGAGCTAAGAGGAGATGCTCCCCTTCTCCTCCAGCTCTCTTCCCCTCTCTCCCCTCTTCTCAACTCCTTGTGGCTTCATAAACAACTCTGTCTCATTTTCATGGCCGCAGATGACTTCTCCCGGGAAGGCTTTTCACTTTCCCAGTCCAGCCTACGTTCCCCAGAGGTCCTGGCGCTTTTCTACCCAAGAACTCAGTAGCCCTAATTCTGCTCACCTTCCCTGGCTAGTAAGATGGTCACAGCCACTTTGGGGGGGAAACCCTGAAATAACTGGCAGGGTGAGGAATAGAAGGGGGCCGTTACAACCCAGCAGTCAACAGAAGCCGTGCCCACAAGTCTGCCCACTTTTCTGCCCCTGCTGGCATTCCAGATCCACCTTGTCTTGTTCCAGGGCCATTTCTGGACCACATCCAGGCCGTTTTACTGCCCTTCAGGGAACACATTGTTCTCTCTATCTAGTAAGGGAGGAGAGAGTAAACAGGGACTCCATTCCGTCCTATTAATTTGCTCCGCTTGTTGAAGCACATGGACTTTGGCCTGAGGAAGTGTACTGATAACGCCAGAGACGCAGATTGTGAGGTGGCCCTTGCACAGCTGAATAGCAGCTCTTCCAGCCCCTCCCTGAAGGGAAAGGTGTGGGTGTGGGTGTGCTTGCAAGGGAGCAACACGTCTCCTTCTCCTGAAGTTTGTTCTCTCCGTGGAAGTCCTGAAGTACATCTGGGCTCCTCCAGAACTTCCACCGACAGAGCTTGCTCGGCATATCCTTTGACCCTGGAACACGCAGCCAAGGAAACAGAGGATGTGTTGGGGGGCACGGAGCACCCAACAGGGTCCCCCGCCAAACCTCTAAACTGGGGAGGGCGGTAATGGGATTTGAAAAAGGTCGACCCCCTCGCTAGCTGGAGCTGTACACAAATGCCCAACGGATAGGCGGGGGTTAAAACACGGGTCAAGCACCAAACCCTTTAGAAGGGAGGCTGCTACTTCCTGAAAGAACATACCAAGCAAAATCTCTTTGAAATGCAAACCGAAAAGAAATTGGAGGTGGGGGGGGGAGTGGAATTCCATTCCAGGAATAAGGAAACCCATTTAGGCAACTAGAATCATGTTCTTTGAAATGGAAGTGGGGTATCGGTGCCCTTCCCCCCTTTTTCTTTGCAGATAATGGGGCCCGAGTCTGAAAATTGCGACATCTCTTGTGCTGCCTCGGTCAGCGCAGAATCCAGCCTAGGCCAGGCAGGGCCAAGTCCAGCCAGGACAAAACACATCGCTGCACACAACTCTTACCTTCCTCCTGCCCGTCTCCCCAACCCCAACACGCTCCACGAAAGCAAGGGAGATGTCAGCTCCAGGGTCAAAGGCCAGCGGGAACAGAGCAGCCTTGGCACGCCTCGCGGTCTTGAGTCCGGCTTGGTCCTCTGCAAGGAGCCCCAGGGTGGTTTCCCAAGAATCAAAGGTCCAGCTGGCCTGGGCTAAGCCAGGGACGCCCAAGCCTGCCTTGGCTCTGCACTGGGGAAGCAGGGCTGGAGGATGGGAGGACATCTGGAGGTGGAGGAGAACGAAAAGCCGAGCGGAATAGCTAAGCCGGAGAGGTGATGATGGGAGGAACGTGGAGCCGTCCCCCCCACACCCCTGAATGCTGAATTCCCTGTTCTGAGGATTGGGTTTTCTTTTAATGCTAACAACTTGATATTTACTTTCCATTTAAATTTGAGATGCTGCTATAAATTATCAACCAGGCTCTTGTTCCCTTTGAGTTGATAACTAACTACCTGGGTTACTTATTGTTCAGGAAACAAAAGGGAGGTGAGAAAACCCTTCAGGAGTAACCTCAGGACTGGGCAAAAGAGGGAACTTGAACCCCAGTGGTGACCCCCATAGGGAAAAGCGGTGCAGCCACAGGCTGGAGGTTAGTGGCTGAAGCCTGTGGGCAGGAGGGGGCCCGGGGACCACTCCTCAGCCGCCCCACCTCCAGGAGCCATCCTGCAGAGAGAGGCTCACCAGAGCAGAATCAGCAGATGCTGGTGGGAAATCAGGGCCACCTTCCGAACATCTGGGTTTCCTCGTTCAGGAAGGACCATCTTGTCTCCCCAGCCCTGCCCCACATTAGAAGGCCCAGCCATGACATGGTCTGACTGCTCTTTCCAGCCTCCCCTTCAAGGCTTGAGAACAGAGAAGAAACTGTTGCTCCAGAAAACTGTTACCCCCAAGTACCCCCCATGTGGGATTGCACCAAGGTAACTGAGATCATTCTGGGGACACGTGGGCACATTTTATGCTTTTATTTTCTTTCACTCAACTTTATTTCTGATTTTCTTCAGTTGCATTATGGGACAATTAAATATTGGATTTTTTCTCCAGAATTAAATAAGCCACTGTGGCTACCTTAAACTCATTTATCTCTTTATTTCATATATATATAAAATCCCTCTCACCCCTATGGGTGTTCTGTGTCTGCCTCACTCTCGGGTCTTCTACCAGAAACTTGGGAGTTGGAGGGTTCTGCGCAGTATCTTAACTGTTCCTAGCACTGCGCTCTTCTGGACAGAGAGCTCTGAGGTTGCTCCTGGGACCTGTTGGAGCCCCTCTCCCAGGTTAGGAGTCACAGCCCCGAGTGCTCCTACCACACCGGGACCATTATGACCTTTACTCTCCATATCCTCTCTAGGGCTTGTTACTTCTCCAGCTTCTCATGCTCCTTCTTCCTGATGTTGCTATGACTTGGCACTGCCACATCTATCTCCATCACTGTCTTCTGCTCCTTGTCTACTACCACAATGTCTGGTTAATTGGCCAGGACCTGCCTGCCCGTCTGGATCTGGAAGTCCCACAGGATCTTAGCCCTGTTATTCTCCATGACCTTCGGTGGAACCTCCCGTCTGGACTTGGGAGGGTCTAGCCCACACACTGTGCAGGTGTTCCTGTACACAATGCCAGTTGCTTGTTTGTGTCATTAAGTACGCTGTTCCTGCCCGCATCTTACACCCTGCCACTTTGCATTTATTTTATTTTTTATTATTTCATTTCATTTTATGCATTTTTATTAAATGTTTTCACATAAGTAAAAGATAACCATGAAATTATATAGAATGAAATTAAGGAAAAAAGAGATAAAAGATAAAAGAATAAGTAGAAAAGACAGTGCAGGTAGAAAGAAAAGATATATAAAGAAGCGACTTCCAATCTTCTTCACAGCAGTTATCAACAAATTCATTATATCTCCTCCCTCTTTAAAGTTACAACTTACTCTGGGTTTGATATGGTCAATTGACTAATTAATAAAGTATACTTTAAAGTTACAACATGGTTCTCTTCCCATATTCAACCCTCTTTAATTAGCAAATCCATAAATCACCAATTCGTTTTTTTCCATTTTCAGCAAAACGTCCATAAGAGATTTCCAGTCTTATATAAAAGTACTTGTTGTCTTATCTCTGATCAAACAGGTCAGTTTTGCCATTTCCACAAGTTCTGCCATCTTCATGATCTACTCCTCCATTGTGGGTATTTCAGTATTTTTCCATCTTTGTGCATATAATAGTCTCGCTATCTCTTTATCTCTTAAAAATTTGTTGTACAGCTCTCTGCCAAAATCTCTTGATACCAGTTAACAGCAACAACAGCAACAAAATCAAAACAGACTTTAAAATCCACAAATGTGATGCATTTGAGGGCCTTTTAATTGCTAGTGAGGAGATGAATCCCTTTGCATTTGCCTCTGTCGCTGGATGTTGTCCCTTATTCCAACTCGTCAAAACCCTCCTGAACCTTGATACTGTCATCTAAACCATTGTTTCTCAACCTCGGCAACTTTAAGATGTGTGGACTTCAACTCCCAGAATTCTGAGAGTTGAAGTCCACACATCTTAAAGTCGCCAAGGTTGAGAAACACTGATCTAAACTCTTCAGTATTCCCACATCTTGGTTGTGTGGTTTGCAAATGCAACCACCATATTTTCTAACCCTTCCTCCAAGTCACTTATAAATATGTTAAACGGAGGTCCTAGAATGGATCCCTGCCACTCCATTCTTTTCTCATTGCTCACAAACCAACTGCTTAGTCATCTGTTGTAGAGTTTTGCCCAGGAGGAACATCAAGCTGAATGGTGTGTTGCTCTCCACGTCCTCTTTTTCCCCCTTTTGGAAGGTACAGATAACCAAGGCAACATCCACAGGTTCCTTTGTGACTCTTGGATGCAGC